ATCATTCTAAAGTAACACTGTACGAAACGCGCACAGATATTCAAAATGTTAGTCGAGAAAAAATCATTCTAAAGTAACACTGTTTTTCTCAGTGTAAACTAATATAGATATATATACATAAACTTTTTAAAGTAGACCCTTTATATGTATATATATATATATTTATATATTTTTGTATTCAAATATATAGATACATATTTTATAAAGGTCTATTTTACGTATTTTATAAAAAAAATATACTTAACTATAAAATGAACACTAAACTATCTCGAGACAAATCTTTTAACGAATTGAAAGACAAAACTTCGTGAACGTTTTTTTTTTTTCGACTGACTTTTATGTCAGAATTATATAGAAGTGCATTTTCCAATATGTACAAAGTTCAGTGATTTCTGCCTTTGTTACACTCCTCTGCAACGCACTTCTCTTTCTTGCACTCTTTCTCTCTCTCTCTCTCTTTCGCACTGATAAGACGAGCTCATAACATGTGACTCACCAATTCCTTTCATTATTTGCGAGCATAAAATGATTGTAAAAAAGAAATTTCATGTTACGAGTCTTCCTTATTAGCACGCAACAGGAGGAGGGCTAACTGCAGGACGTAACGTACCTACGAACAACCGCGAGACATCATCCCTAGTGTGATTTCACTCATTTAAATTCGATTCGCAATTTTGCATCTATCTGTCCATGTTTTCAGAATTCTTTGATTCACTTCATTATTATTTCTTTGATTCATTTATCATATAAAACAAATTGTCTATTTAATTAAAACTTAAAGCAAATTAAAATGCTAGAGGTGACAAAATTCAATTCACGTAGAAATTCAGACAAATTAACGGATGCAAAATCGCGAGATAAATCGATCAGACAGATCCACGCCAAGGGTGACTTAAGGAGAGGAAGAGATAAGGGGAAAAAAATTAGAATCAATTGGTCAAAAGACTTACAGGGTGGATCTCGCGAGAGGGACAATGGCGAAGCTCTCGACCTCCCTTCCACCACGAGGGACTAGACATACCGATCTTATCAACAGTACAATTATAATTACAGCTTAGAAACGTAAGCTTTTAAAAGGGGGACCCCGCTTTTGACCCCCGCTTGCAACCGTTCCACTCCGCGTCGCAATTTCGCCGGAGGGAGTACGCGAGTTATTTTGGAACACCTTGGGAAATCACATTACGCCTAAGAGAGAGAGTCTTATCTTTTCCGCCACTAAATTCGTCGACAAAGAACGATAATATTAGCTGTTACCCGAATCGGTGGATTGGCGATCATTCTCCGGCCGGACATACGGGTCAACGTGACTAGATTAATCGGCAGTCGCCGGCTTGATCTCGCGTGTTTTGGTTGTGTGAGAATACAAATCGTTCGAGTAATCGTTTCGTTTCGTTTCAAAAGCCCATCATAACAATGAGAAATCAAAATAATATATTGAAAATGCAAAGCGGAATAATTTGGCGCAATTAAAAATATATTCATATATAAAAACAGTTCAATTCTTGACAAAAAAAAAAAAACAATTTAATCACATTAACCGTTACTCGCAATATGTTATTTCTCCACTGTGAAAAAGTAAAAGATATATGTCTCCATTTTGTTCTCTTACAGCTGGTCTTACAATTTTAATTAACCGTTAGTCTCCGCTTCTAACACATTTCCATTATCTTATTGCTTCCTTGCTCATATTTTGCAATGGACTTTAAAACATTACGGTTTCGGTTCACTACGTCTGCTGACGTTGCACACTGCGACAATCGTAGTCGATGAAACGATCAAGCCAGCGCCTCGCGTTACGATGAGATCGCTAAGAATGGAACTTACTCAAAATTGGAATTTAAAAAAAACATTTGCGAAATATATTTTTAATTTGATAACACAATTATATTTAAACTGTACTAATTAAATACTTTTACTCTACTTTTTTTTCGAGTGTAAAGTGTTTGATTGATAATTTTGTGAACTGAACAGTTCGCTGAACAATCAGTTTGTGTAAAAAATCTAATTTTGGCTTTCAATTCGCTTAAAATAGCAATCTCGAAGGTTGAACCGTGAATTCGGACAGACAAAAGGATATTTCATCTAGGATCGCTTTCATTACTCTCCCTTTTCTCTGTCTCTCTTTCTCTCTTTCTTTCTCTCTCTCTCTCTCTCTCTCTCTCTCTCTCTCTCTCTCTCTCTCTCGTGTCGAAAGGCCACGATTATACTCATACATCTCGCACCTCTCATTAAATCCCAATTAACAAATTGCTAGATATATCACGATGTCTGATAGCGATAATAATAATCGACAATAGCTTGCTAAAATTTCACTTCGCCTAGAACTTATCGTCTAAAATATCTCGCACTCGCGTCGTCGTGTTTTACAATTCAATCTAAGTCGACGACGTCGCAAATTTAACCAAAACTTGCACAGGACCCATCGAATTATACATCTTTTTTTCTCGAATTCACTTCTATTTTGCGCTTTCGTCCGCATTCTCCTTGTTTTTTATATTTGTCATAATCTATTTACCTCTCGAATACATATGAACATACAATTCATCCTTCGTATGAGACAGTGAGACAATGAGATTGTAACTAGCAGAAGATGAAGCGAACGAAAGGGCAATATCAAAGTGAGAATTCAAAAAGAAACAAAAAGAAACATCTTTGCCAATATATCTCCTTGATCGCTTCGATCCGCACACGCGCTAATTTCTTTACATAGAATACAATTAAATCTCGTCGTCTAATATTGCATGCGCGTGAACACATCTCAAAGGTGAAAACAGAAAGACGATATTTTCTCCCTCGACTCGCCACACAGCGACTTAATGAACATGAAACGAAACAACATCGCCGTGCAGGCGTAATTGCCCGGACACTTTCACGAAGATTAAAATTTACAATTTTCTTCTTTGTTAGGAAGAATGTTAACGATGATTAGGACCTCGCCATCAAGACATTACACTTTCACGCACGTCGAATGCTGAATCTTGTATTGAACGATTTGACGAAATTGCGTCGCGGATACGCACGGGCGGTGGTATGAGAATTTCGTGCACTTTAACGGAATTCCAAACGAATATCTAAGAACGCCAATGCGGCTATTTCCTCGGAAACGAAGCGGAAGCTCGCGAAATTAACGCGAAATTAACAAAGTGCACACGAGAGGTTATTCCACTCTACGCGATCTACCATCTGTCTTCCTGTCTCGTGCATTCCTCGTACGCCACGCACGATCCGTAATCACAAAGGGAAACGTATCGGTATAATTTCATTGCAATTTCTCCCTGCGTCGTGGACCCTTAAGAAATACAATAATAATTGGTGACTTCTCATGAAATAATCGAGTGATTCGCTCTGCCTCGAAACTGAGATTCAAATTTGACAAGGCCTTTTCATACAAGTATACATATAGCTAAAACTTTTGTCTTGAAAATTCAATTAAACATCTATATTTAACGAGAAATAATACTGTAAATATTTTAAAAGTAATCCTGCTAAAAATTGCGAGATAGTATAATAATTTATTAAACTATCCTACTATATGTAATCAAGCCATTGATAATATTTTGTGTTATTGGTGGAAATTTAGGATTTATTATATCGATTTTTTAAAATAAATTATACTGAATTATTGATTACACTGAAAAACGCGTCATCAAACTTGAATCTTTGTTCGAGCAGAACTCGTCCTATTTTGTCAAAACTGAGGCCTTATCTATTTGAATAATAATAAAGATAGCGTTATGTCGGACACAGGGCGAGCCATGCGGAACGCGAAAGGGATGCGCATTCTCATAGATTTGCATTGCAAATGTACTCTTGTATGCACGCCGCCATTACAAACGTACTCTGTCTGCAAAACAAATGTTTATCGAACAAATAACGATTATTCGATTCTTCCTCGATGCACGAATGCACTACGGTCGATTGTTAATTAACGGTTGCATTAACATCGATTGGATTTAACTCAATATGTTGATGAACTAAATTTCTCTTCTTTTTCTGTTATATTTACACGAATAACTTAAGGCACACAATGTGATTCTTCGTGCTACGTCGTATGCAATTTAATAAATTACTAAAATTGTACCACATAAGTTATAAATTATGTAACTTTTTCCCTAAAGGCGGTAACGTGAAAGAGAAAATTTTCTTCGAGCGTTTTTTCAGTAAGGATACACTGTGACATAGTAAATCATTTCATCCTTGTTTAACATTGTCAAATAACAAGGATGTAATGATTCATTGCGTTACACTGTGTATCCTTACTGAAAAACATGTCCTTTAAAATTTAATTTTTCACGTTTCCACCCTAAGCAAAAGATATATGATCGCTCTCCAGAACGCAGAATTTAGGAATTCACTAGATTGCATGCAATCTAGCACGAAAAATCATAATGTATATCTCTGGCTTCAGTAAGAGATAGGCAATTGCTAAAAGCAAAAGTGAGTCAACTAGAATCGATACAACCGTGTCGCATTTATGTTTCCTCTTTGTATACAATTCTGATCTAAAGAGAAAGAACATTAATACAATGCAACGATGATTGAAGGAACCATTAATCCTTTTCATTCTAACTATTTGAATTGCAAGAAATTTCGAAAATTTTACTTTGTATTGTATATTTATAAAAACTACACAATGTAACGATAACGAGTGACATCTGTTCTAACTCTTTTAAAATTTTTTTAATTAAATGTATCAGTATATTGATTTGCTACTTATGATTATATTTGAACATATAATTACGAACACATAATCTTTATAATAAAGAGATCGATGAATTTTCCTTAAAATTATTTCTAATTTCGCCGGAAAAGATTCAACATTATTAATTGCTTCAAGTACATATAGCATTCGAGGTAGAACATATTCAACTTTGACTTTTGCCAGGACAATATATGGTACATTTGTCGGAGGTGTGTGCGCGTCCCATTACAGTTTCGTACGGCCGGCCATCTCGTGTTTTTAATGGTATGCGTGTTTGTAATGTATGTTTGATGTTTTACTTTTAAATCGGTATGTAGCATATCGTTTTTTTAGTCGTAATAAGTATATTGATATTGAACTACCTAGCCTAATATGTACAGAGTTCCCGTTTTCACTCTTGGCACTACATTATTCCCCTACGCAACTCCTCACATGCATACACAAACACGCGCGAGCGCGCGCGCGCGGGTCCCGCTCTTTGTCTTTTTTTTTCCTTCTTTTTCCCCTCTCGACCCTGCAATTAGCTGCGCCTCTTGCGCGTCTTTCGTTCTACTCGTTCCGCACACGCGCGCTTGCATTTATACTCATACGCACGTCTGGTCTCGCACTCACGCAACCGAACGAATTCGCTCATACAACTCGTGTCCCGTTCGTCCGTTTTTTCTTTTTTTTTTTTCCACAACCACTATCGCGTGAAACCACACTTGCCCCGTCCAGCCGTCGCGCAGCAGCCGCCCGTCGCGAATAAAATGTTATATCGATAATAAATAATTTACTAAGTCTTCGTCGCGATGAACAAACTTCCGCGATGTCCGACGATCGAGCCTCCGATCGAGAGCTGGAAGAGGGTGACCGGCGATTCTGCTTCGTTGTGGAATTGGTATCGTGCGAGTCACGAACCTCGCATCCGTTTCTCTTCGAAGTGAAGCTTTTCGCCGTCTAATTCCCCCGGATAGGAAGTCCCTCGTTCCAGGGTAGGCCATCACTTCACGTCGCGCGTTGGTAACGCTATTTTCCACGCCGAGCTTCGATCGCTCCGTCCATTCTACTCGCTTTCCATTCTCTTCACGTCCGACGCAATCACAATCCTCATGCTACCGCTTTGAAATAATCTGAGATCTAGGCTAGACACTGGCCGCGTGTGGAATTGCACAATGAGACGCGTCAACAACGGCGGCGGCGACGGCGCATCGATTCTCCTGGTCGAAAAAAAAAGAGGACAGGCGCGAACCAACGCACGGCGATTGAGCGCAGTCTTGATGACTGATTTGACTTTTCAGTCATTACCAGGAGCCGGCTTTTTTTACATTTCCGCCGATCCTCCTTTAGGCCACGAACGGACGACCCTTTCTCTCTCTCTTTCTTTCTCTCTCTCTTTCTCTCTCTTTCTCTCTCTCTCTCTTTCTCTCTCTCTCTCTCTCATTATAGAAGAACGCCGGAAGAATGATTCAACGAGGATACCACCGGTCGGGAGGATATTATATTCTCTCGCGTATATGTAATACACGTTGTTGAACACGATGGAACATGACCAATGGAATTTATCCTATGTTGAAGCTTCTCCCGTGAGTCAGTCTTGAAAGGCGTCGTTGTTGTCGTTGCAGTCGCGCAGAACGATCTTGAGAACCATCGTTCATTCTCGAGGTCGGACGATGCAGCTGCGACAATGACGACAACGGCGTCAAGGAAGGAGGACGCCGCGGATCAGACCTTCTGATGGAATTGCTGCTGCTGGGGTTGCTGTTGCTGTTGCTGCTGCTCTTGCCGGCTTTCGTCGGTTTCGCAGGGCACCACGGTGATGTTGGACAGATTGCTACTGCTCAGATTACTGCTCACGTTACTACTGGACTCGGAATAACTGGAAAAGGGCGGTTTGTTGACCGGCATCGACGTCGACGATGGCGTCGTATGGCTCGGGAACATCTTGAACATCGAGCGTGCGGTATTCAACAATAAATTGCTGCTGCTGGGACTCTGACTCCGCGTCACCCGGTCGCCAGGCACATCGAGCAATCCCGGGTGGAGATGCTGGCTGCTACTTGGCGTCCGATAAGGCGGCGGACTCTCGCTATCGAACACAGTGCGATTCGGCGGCGCTCGCACGCATTTCTGATAAATTTCGCTCTCCTAGAAACAAAAAAATTCGTTATAGTCAGGCATACAAAGAACAAAAAATGATAGAACATTCGTAAGTAAAGTCTTTAAAAATTCAAGATAATTGAGTTTAGGTTTTCGTATATCAAAATTCGACAATACCTACATCGATTATATCGAATGCATGAATGCAAGATTTACTTAATAAAATTGTGATATACCGATACATTTATTCACTCATAAGGAATTAATTTTCGTACGAGAATCAAGAAATTTATTCATTTTCATTCGTAATATCAAGAGATACCATACATAGATTTTTTGAATGTCAGATTTATAATTTAAAATTAAATGGCCACAATTTTAAGCGATTAAACTATTTTTTACTCTCCTGTTTCTTATATCTTTATTAGACTATAATTTCTAGACTGTAAAACTGTATTACAGTTACGGTGATTGCGATTGCTTTAAGTATTTCAAGCGGTTTGAAGTTTAATATTCTTATTTGCGTAATGATGACGAGGCATAATGAGTACTTGAACCTGAGAATTCGCGGAGGGACAGGAAACGAATAAATAAATATATTTTTTCGGTCATTCTCCCGGTCGGAGGCAATGTACAGCAAACACATATGTCGACATATTGTAAATATAATCTTACAGCATTATATTATGATAAAAGCGAGGATCTCTGACAATCAAATTATTAATCGCGATTTTAAAAATATATTTGTTTTTTCAGAATAATAATATTAAAAGTTTGTCAATAATATTAAATTTTTTTTCTTTTGAGTGATGTTCTATCGCTAATAATAGTAAATACGAATTCCGAAGAAACCAGTTGCAAACAGAAACACTGAAAAGAGAGAGAAGAGAGAGAAGATAAATAACGTTTATTAACGTTCTATGTCGAGTCCTCAAATTATAAGAACAAAGAAATCAAACAGAATGCATCAATAAATACAAAGAAAGAAAGAAAAAATAATATATGACAAAACAGAAAAAATATATTTAAAAAAAAAGAAATAGAAAAAAGATCAAAACAAAGAGAAAGAGATCTGGGGAATTATTTATCTAATTTATAATTATATAAATTAATATAATAATTATCTTTCGTTTGTGTGATATTTTTTTAGATAAATATATCACAAATAAAAATTCTATAGTATATTACATGTTACGTATATTATAGATTTTCGTGTGCAATATATTGTAGATTCAAGAATAGACCCCCTGTTCGACGCGATTTAAATCCTCGGGAATCGGCATTCGTCGAATCTTGCTGCAACTCTCTGCGCTTTTCTCTTACCTGTTCTGGGTTGCGAAGGTGAAGATCCGGGTGCGCCCCGTACGGGTGCTCCTCGCCGTCCGGGAGCTCGAGTCTCGGCGGTAGATTGAGAGCAAGATCATGCCGGACACTCTCCGTGCGGATCGCGCGATCCCTCGCCGCGGCGATCATCACCGCTTGTATATCTCGACGTCTTCTGGTATCGTCGCCATCGCCACCGCCGCCGCCACCGACTCCACCGCTGACCGCACCAGCGGTTGGGTCATCTTCCGCCGATGCACCTCGTCCGCTGCTGCCGACCTCCATTCCTTGGCTCACCGACAGCATCTGCAAAATCGACGTTCGTATTTAAACGTTTGAAAAAAGCGCAGAATAATGCGATATTTGTAATTTCGATAGGTCTGTTATTCGCGTTGCTTGAAATTCCTAAAAATGTGTATTATATGTATATTTATAAAATAAGATAAATATATACATATGTATACTCTCGGGCGTTGAAGAAAGAGAAAGCAAACATGCTTAGTGCACAAAATTGCAAGTGCGAACAGACAGATTATCACGCGTAAATATCGTGAAATTGTTAATATTGTTATCTACACAAAACAAAAAGATAACAAAAAGAACGATTTATATTTGATAATAAAAAGCGTTATAGTAGTTGAATGTTATTGTCCTTGGAAATCGTTTAATAATGATGTGCAATTTAACAAATCGTGAGACATTTCTTAAATTTAGTAATATAATTTCAAATTTTGTACAATTCTGATAATTGTGTCTCCGATAAACTTCTAAATTAGAGTCGAATTTAATCGTTTTCTCTAATTTTCAGCGAAAATTCCTTTCTTCGTGTATTCTCCTTTATGTGAGGAAAAGATCTATAAAAGACTAGAGGAGGGAAAGCATCTCTTTTAATGCAATTTAAATATGTTCAATATTTTTGGATTTATATCAATAGATAACTTGATGATCAAATATTGATCAAAACTAGAGTACCAATGATATAACTATATTTTCTAGCAATAATATGAAAACGTAACAAATGAAAAATTAAAACATAAGACACAATTGAAAAACACAGCTATAGAAATAAGCTGAAATAAACAGAATACACGGTTTCTGATAGGTTTTAAAATCGATTATTGTTTCAGCTGTTTTTATTGCCTGTGCTTTTCAATTGTGTTTTCGACTTGAAATAGTATTCGGTGTGTGTAGTTATATCTGATGAGATACAATTGCATCGATAACGGTACAAAAGTATCAATAAGTGCTTGCAATTATCGACTATAGACCTTTTTTTTTTAAATATCAATATTTGGAAATATTAATATTAGGTTGGGGAAAAATCCTTTTTCATCAAACATCTATATGCATTCTCGATTATTTCAACACAAATGTTTAGAGATCAAAGAAAAAGCTCCAAATTTTATTTGATTCTGACGCACAAAATATAAACATGTGGTGACTGCTCTTATCTGCCACCGAGAAAAAGGGTTGCGATCGAGAGCCCTCCACTGTATGGTCATGAATAAATTAGTACAGAAAATGAAATTGCTCGACTATTCGATCAGAAGAGCGCTCGTCATACGTGGATATAGATATTGGTGTTGCGCCGCGCGGTTGCACTCGGTTCATGTAAATAATTGCATATAAATCATATCATTATATCCGCAGGATTAATTCCTCTGTGATGTTGATTATTCATACAATCGAACGTATACACGAAATACTTTGATTCGTGATTCGTTGCCATTACGAAATGCGCACGTATCGCTTTAAACAAAAATTATCAATACATACATAAAATAAATGTGCATTGAAAGATAAAAACACTTTATTGGAAAGAAAAATAGAGAAAGATATTTTTCGCGAAATTGGTTTCAAGTAATATATAATACGAGTGCAGTATATTGATTTGTAAAAATAAATTAATCTTGAACCAAGCGCTATGAAGTTCATAACGCCAACAGTCAAGAATTCATGAAATATGCAAGTAACTTTGACAATCTTTTACTAGATTCCTCTAAGATCCATTTTTATCAATATAAATTAATTTTAATTCTTAGAACTAGAAGGTAAAAAGTAAGTTAAATCAAGATGAAAATTGATCTACATTGGTAGAAATGGACATAAAAGTTATTTAGAGTTAACTACAATTTCAACTAATTATCTATCATTTTCTTATCACCTGCGCGATTCTAAATTCTGCAATATAATCTCAGATTCTGTATAATTCAGATAATTGTGTCTCAGATAAACCTCGATTAGTCGAACTCAATCGTTTTCTCTTTCCAGCAAAAATTTCTTCGCTCGTTCCCTTCGTGAATCCGGTTTAAAACATCTGCTCACGCACGCACGCACGTGTACGGGACGCTCGTAAGAGGCGGGCTGAGAAACGTCACGTCGTGACAGTTGGCGGTACCACAGGATGGCGTGGTTCGTGCACACCTCGAGAAGTAAAACGGAGAAGGTCGTACGAGCTTTTCAAGTGCCGACGAGCACGGCAAAAGAACGAGGTCGCGTGCAAACGCACTCGCGACTCGCGCGCTTTCCTTTTCGTTCCGCGTTGTGTCTTTGGTTCGCACATCCGTCCAATTGGCCATGGATCGAAATAGATCGATCGAGTGTGCTGTGACGACCGTGAAAGCTACCGTCGCGTATCCCGAAATACCACAATACCACGATGTTTATGATCAAATTTATAGATATTTTGCATTTTCGATACATATATTAATATGATGATTTATGCCTAATATTTTGCTGTATTATGTGTTTTTCTCTTTTTTATGAAATAAAAAAACAAATATGTTTCCAAACATACTACGCAATGTTTTTTTTTTAATTAAAAATTAATTTTAATAGAATTTACTCTACAAAAGCTTTTATTTCGATTATTAAATTTAATTAATAGGTGAAATATAGAATATAATGAGTCATTATTAATGACATTACTGTCCTCTTCCTCTTCTAAATACACAACTTTATAAATATTTTCTAAAAATGGTAAAATATGTTCATGTATAAGAATCCCTTAGTAATTTTTATATATTTGATGTAAAAGTAATGAAAATTAATTTAGGATACGAACGATTACTGATCATGTTTCGATATATACTGCTAGGATTAAAAATCTATACGTGAATTATAGATTTTCAGTTACTGGCAGTATATGTTATATTGAAATATGGAAATTGTGTGTAGTAAAAGACTAGAAAATCGTGATTAATAAGTCAATTAGAATAATATGTTCACAATTACATGTAATATATATTGCACACTCTCTAAATTGTTTAGAGTTTTAGAGTAAAATCTCACTCCAAAGAATGTCATGAAAATTGAGTTAGTCTTCAAAAAGAGTGGCTGAATTTTCAATCTTTCATCTTAAAAGTTTTAGAGAATATGAATAAAAATATAATTGTACATATTTTTTTGTGATAATAAAAAGATAGGGAATTTTGGAGATAAATTGTTTATTTCATTGATTTTGCTTCCAAATGCAAAGATCCTCGACCGCAGCTCCGGACCGAAGTTAAGAACGTTTCTATCAATATGAGTTTTATGACAATTTGATAGCGGTTTAACGAGCAAGAGCCAACACAGAAGTTTCTCGCGAACATTTGCTGGCACGTGCGCGTGTTAACGACTGATGGGTCGGTCGGTCGGTCGGTCGCGTTAAAGCTTTAAAGGGGTTTTCAGCACCCCTCCGTTCGCGTTCTCGCGCTCGTCCGAGGCCGTCGAAAGGGAAAGCGGAAGAGGGATGCAGCAGCGGCGGCGGCGGCGACGGCTGTTGCTGCGACAACAGAGCGAGGGTGTGCGGCGGAGACAGCAACGACAGGAGCGACTGACACACAGAGGGATGAATGCTCGCTCGCGTACCATTCGTATCGATCGACTTGCAATATAACATCACTTTTGCTCGTTACCAATGTAATACAGATGTACGGGAAAGCCCTTCGATCACAGAAATATGCGGATATTTTCAAAATTGCTCCATCATATCAAGTGCTTTTATGTTCTTGTAATGCTATCATGAAATACACGTTTTGTGCAAGTTGATATTTTATTCATAAATTCGAAAATAATTATAATAATTGCTTACCACATTTATATCCTTATTGCTTTTTAAATGGAATTTTAGATAATTTTTTTTTAACTTTTTTCTTTCGTTTTTTTTTTTTTTTTTTTAAGTTATCTGGTATAAAGATATTAAAAACAGTAGTCATGCTATCGTCTCACCATTTTCGTATTTGCATTTTCATTTTTCACGTAACATTCATGTGGATATTCGTACGTAATAAATTAAATGTAATATATCTTATCTAATGTATTTAGTATTAATACATTTTTATTATATGTTAATAAAGTTTTGAATTTACATATTTTGTTCGTTCTCTACACGTATACTTGATCTTTATTTGTTTGTAAAATTCTAAATATTATATTGGTAGATGTATTCTTTATAGAGGATAATATATCCAACACTAAAATAATTAGGCATATTTTTTAATTTGCATTTTCTAAACAAGAAACTCATAAGAAAGATGAATTTCTTCATTATTTCTACAGAATCGAAAATTTTCTTGACGAGATTAAATGAATAAAAATTTTGAGGATAACAATTTTACGAAGAAAAACGGGAAGGAGAAATCTGTCCGAGCATATTTTAAAACGAGAACCAATGTCATTCTTCGAGTAAAAGGAATTTATATGTGCTGAATATAGGAATAAGTTATATTTGGTACATATATGATTCCTTTCATCTCTTTCCATGCCATTCGTGATTGAATTTTAGTAGTTCAACTGACAGAGTTGATGGATCATTTAATTACAGTTATATCGCGTATCAAATTATATCGCAGTCGTCACGATGTAACATGAGAGTTACATCCAAATCTCAATCAAATATAGTTCATTACTACTGCAAATGTTAATTTCGATACATAATTCTACAATTGAATTCCACAATCTATGATGAAAATAATTTCAAAAGTAAAGCATTTTCCGCATCTCAAGAAATTCTGTAAGTCATACAGAAACAATTTTCAAAAAAATTAGATCTCTCCTAATAAATAGACTCACCTATAAGTTAAATGACTTAAAGCATTAAATAGAAATTGCCTTTATTTCTTGCACATTATTCTTCGTTTCATACCTATATAACATATTGTTATATGTTTTATGCTTTCATACTGTATCGTGTGACAATTGAATTTTTCAAGCGAGACAACGGTGACCTGAGCAAGTAGTGAGAGCAACCCGGATACACGAACGAGAATGGATGAAAGAGTGACGAGTTGCTCGATCGATCGATCGGAGATAGAATTACCGGC